AAAAAAAAAAAACAGAAAAAAAATTGAACCATGCCGCAACTTAGAGAAAAATTGAACCGATAATATAGTAAACTAAAATAATAATACTGAATGGTTTGACTGTATGTCAATTTTATCTCGATTATTCTATACATTTTATTCAATTTGGTGCGATTAAACTTAAAACCACACGAATCGAATAAAAACAAAAATCAAACATATAAAACATATAATCGCACCGCACCATAATGTAGAGAAATATCAAATCAAAACTGAACTAAAAATAATTTTTTAATCGAACCGCAACGAATTCTACAATTCGACTCAAAATTTTTGGTTCGGGCTCGATTATACTCACCTTGTCTTGGGCCGACTGCAGTAGCCCAATAAGGATTTTGTTGAAATTAAAAAAAAAAAAAAAACTCAAAATGTATTTATTCGGAAAAAGTAGATCATATAGTTCGCAGAGTACAGTTTGATAGCACCAAAAAGGAAACAGTTAACGCCATTTTTTTTTCTGAATCATTCTCTCGAGCTGCAGTTCACTGCCAAACAGAGTCGCAACAGTTCCTCTCTCCCTTTGTGTGTGCGTTACTCGCATGGTAAGTTGCGCCTCTCTCACTTCCTTAAATTCTGACATGTATATATGCAAACACCTGTTGGTTGAGTTCAATGATAATTGCTGCTAATCGTGCGAGGTTTTTTCTTATTTGTTTGTTCTCCTTTACTGCAGTCTTTTTCTGCTTCTTTCCCCGTGTTTGGATGTCCAAGTTTATGTGACGAACGCCCTCTTTTTATCGTTGAACTCAGTTATCTCTTGTTAAATTGAGTCCTTTTAGGTTAATTAGATGTAGTTTCGTGATTATTGGGGAAATTATCGTTGTGTTTGGGGCTGAGATGGCTGCAATTAAATTTCTCCCAAATATTGTGTTCTTCTATTATATTTCTCGTTCTTTCTGCTGAATGGTGACTTGAGACCCAACGAAGGCCACAATGTATTTTCGTGACAATTTAGTTATATATATTTTGATAATATTACACAAAGAAGTGTGCAATCCTGTTCTTTTACTGTGGATGCTCTTCCGATGTTACGATAGCATGTTTGTATTTTGTTTTGCGAAAGTAATGGGATTATCAAACAGTTCTGTTATTCAAAAGGAATAGAGACATTCTTTCCCTTTTGTCTTTGTTATGAAGAAGATGGTGGCCTATATTTGTATAATATAGGTCACAATTTATTTTCATTTTACCCTTCGCCTGCAGATTCTGCAAGTTGTAGCTTGGGATGACTTGCCTTATGTTTCAATTAAATAACAGGCAATTTGTGCTTTAAGGGTGGGCAGATAAAACTTAGCGAATAGTGTGTTTTATAAAATATTCGAGGGCAAAATACTAACAATCATAACTTTGTACCAATTGACTCAAACTTTGTAGTTTGTACAGTAAGAAGTTAATGAAAAAATAGTAGGTTAACATGCCTTGAATTGATGCTTTTGAAGAATCGGTACCTGTTGAGTTTATTTGAGTGCAAAAGTTCCCCAGTAAGGAGATATGCTCGATTAGGAAATACTATATTGTATAAGTGTCCGTCAGTTTCCAGCACACAACTAGTTTGTTTTGGCAAATTTAATATGAATCTTATTCTGGTTTGTTTGTTGACATCAGATCTAATGTTACCTCAATGGGAGCCGTCTAAATAAATAGTTTGTGATGAGGAAGGACAAATGCAATCTTCTCAGTTTCAAACTTTCTCATGCCAAGAAACCTAAAGAAGTACTCTAGTGAATCTATGTGACAAGTTTATTAGACAATGTTGAAGTTAGTATTTAAATAATAATTACAATTTTCAGTTTTTTCCTTCCTCATTTCTGCAGAAAGGACACTAAGTGTAATTAAATAGCTACTTGGATAAGAGTCAACTGAATCATCAGTAGATCTGATGAAATTTGGGGAAATGAATCCTAATGAGATGCAATTTCTTTTCTATGAATTTATCACATGCTATTTGGTATAGATTTCATCTAATTGCCTCATACATTACGCTATAGATGTATCACTCTATCTCTGATTGACTACCCTGAATTTATTCAGTTTGGACAATTTAACATCGGAGTATATTAGGCTTCCATCATTCCAGAAGAACTCTACTCCAAAGTTTCTCTGATGTAAGCACATGCTTATTGCTATCCCTTCAGAAAGAGAGTTCCAGAATCTCTCCTGGTCTACATGGATGATACATTTCTAAGCAACTGAAAGTTTTAGTTTAACAAATTGATATTTACTGTTCATGTCATTGCTAAAAGATATTTAAAATCGTTTACTTGTCTGATATACTCTTATAAACTATTCGTGCGACTACATATTTAAAGCGAGTTGACGCATTGAGATATCATTTGGTTTCTTCTGACTCGAAATTGGAACATTCGACGATTTATGGGCTACTGAAAATTACATTTGAAATGGACTTTTAGGTGTAGTAGTCCATTTATAAAAAGCTCAGTTCGCTTGGCTGTTATATAGATGGACCTCTAGAAAAGTCATGTCCCAAAAAGTCTATTGGGAGACCTCGAAATCTTGGACTTTTGAATATCTTATAGTCCAGTTTTGTAGAATCGTGGTGAAGTGAATTTCCACCAAATCATTAATGTTACTTGGAAGCACTTGTGTGAAAGTACATGTTAAAAACTCAACTTGTAGTTTTTAATACTGGAAGTTCTCCAGAACAAGTACAGAATTACCAAATCTGTTGACCAGGCCACTTATATCTGATACTCATTTCGTTCGCAAGCCCAAAGTAGGTGTGTTGTTTGGGAGATATTTTTATTTGGGCTTCAGGCTCTGTCATATTTCCTTCACAATGTCAGTATGGTTTTGGTGAATTGATCATAGAATATAACACCCACCTACTCATAGATATTAGGCTGATAATTTTATGGAAAAAATATTCTTAAAAAAGAAAATATAAGCCTCGTTTCATTGTCTTAGTTTTTTATAACCCTAGAAATTCTTGCCACCGTCTCCTCATTTAAGTTATTTGTTCATCCTCAAACCTTTGTCGCCAAGAATTATGTATCGCTGTAAACCGCCTCATTTACAAAGTACGTCCTCTGTATTTCCTGAATCTATTTAGCTATGCCTCCTTTTCTTCCTTACCTGCTTACAGTGACTCGTAGAATTGAAGATCTTCGGATTCAGATTTTTCTCCCTTTTCTGTTTTTGTTTTTATTACTGATGAAGCCCCTATGCGCTAACAATCTTGAATTGTGTGCGGACAGGCCCCGGCGTTGCTTTACTTATCTAGATATGTGCTATGTGATTCCAAATGTGACTCCTTTTAAAAGTCATAGGTATATCAGCCTATTTTTTTCCGACAATAGTCTTTTATTAAGATCAGGTATAAGCGTCTTTTTTGTGTACTGGTTTCGAGAGATGAGAGAGAAGCTAGCGAATTAAAAAGGGAGGGTGAATATAGAATCTTTTGATTTCCTGCAACTCGGCCAAGAATTAGTTTTGCATTCATTATAAATAATGTATATTTGTATTAGTCTTGTATTTATTATAAATAGTGAATCTCCATATCCATTCAAAGTTTAGTAGATAAACTTTAGCCAGATTTTAGCAGGTTTCTGCGCAATAAACAATTGTGCTAGTAATATTAGATCATTGACATTCATATTAAGCAACTATTCAAAATTTAGCAGCAGCTTATGAGAGATGAATCATTTCTGTTTGGTGTCTTATGTGGTTCATTGTGTCTTGACATCTTGAAATGGCCTTGCCTCCATTATGATTTTTTTGGTTATTCTAGTTTTCATTCTTCCTGTTTAATTTGGGAGATTGCTTTCTTATGCATTTCACGAACCAAATATTTCTATTTTATGTCATTTGTGTTACCATAGATTCATCTACAACCTTTTTCTAGTATGTAAAAGGTCCCTCTGGAAGGCAACTGTATATCTGTGGCCATGAAGAGGTCCTTGCCATCTAATGCGCAAGTAGAGATTTCATCAGACGATTCTTCTTCTTCTTCTTCCTCTGATGCAGACACCGGTGTCTTTAGGAGCCAGCAGCTCAGTGACGAGCCTCCTGAATTATCTCCAGAAGGTATTTCAGTTACCTACTACTGACATTTCCGAAAAACAAAAAGATATAATTGTGTGTTGTCTGTTCTGATTCCAATTATCTCTGTTTCGGTATTACCTTACTATGTTAGTGTTGCAGCATGTTCTTCCATTTACTGGAAAAGTATTTTTCGAGCAGTTTCCAATCAATTGTAGCAGGGGAGGTCTGCATTTTGCCTTTTAGTGTAGAGCATTTTGTAGGAGGCTATTTCTGTTGCTGTCTATTGTTATAGTACATCTTGATTCATTACTCAATGGAAGGAAGATGCCATTTATGATGTGGCTTTTTTTTAATCTTGCATTACACTTCATCTATTATGCATGCATAACATAAGAAATTCATGTTGTTAAAAAAAAAAAAAAACAACTTAGTTATGAATGTCTTAGTCATTTGCCACCATTTAGTTTCTGGAGACATTGTACTACATATTCGTCCAATTATTCCAAATAGAGTTGATTACGGAGGCCCATGCAAAGTTCCACTGTTGGTGTCTATTAGCATTATGAGCAGAGTTTTGTTCTTTGATAAGCATTCATAAACATTGCTTAGAATGCCCCAAGGATCGGATCCTTGGTTCTTTTGGTGTCAAAAGTGCTAATATGCACTATTTTTAGTATATGAAGTAATAAGCGTGAGTTTGGTCGTGAGAAGTAAGCAATGCTGGCCCTTCCTAGTGCTGATTAAAAAAAAAAAAAAAATCCCAGTGCTAATAAAAAAAGGCTACTTTCCTTTTGCATCATACGAAGAGTTTCCTTGTATTTTTTCAGTAATTCACCCAAAATGCAGCATGTCTTGGGAAGTGGTTTCTCCATTTCTCTCCTTTTTCACTATTTCTTTTCTCCTCTTTCGTGTATTTGCTTGTTCCTTGCCATAGTCTTTTGATCTAAGTTAAGGCTAGATTGAACCCTTATGAATTACAACCATCAATGTTCATGACCCCAAGAACCGAAAATGCATGTTTCACATGGAAATTATTATTTTTTTCATTTCATGATGCATATCGCATGTTTGAACTGCAGCATGGCTGTTGAGAAGAGCAGAAAGCTACCAAGAGTACATGAAGCTGATCCCGATCCCGACTGAGCGAGGAACGGTGATACCCTTCACCTCATGGACTGGCCTAGGCAGCTCGATCAAGCAAATTTACGGGCAGCCGTTGCACTACCTGACCAATCTTCACTTGAGCCGTATGGACCATGAGAGGCTTGGTGCTGAGGATGCAGGTGTCCCTTTGTACATGACCATTCACCCGTGCAAGGCCGAGGCTAGCATCTGGATCATCGAGGAGGCCCACCGGCTGACATCATCGCCACATCATTTGGTCAGACTGTGGGAGGCAGATACATACTATCATGCATACATTGACGACATTTTTCCCAAGCTGAAGGCTTGAGGTGGGTCCCGGGCCAAGGTGTGACCTGTGTGATGGTGTTGGGATTTGTTTGATTTGTCTCGAGTAAAGCTGGATCTGGATTTTTAAATGGACTTGTGTTTGTTAGCGTTTGTTTCTGGATTGAGATTTTCTTCTTTGTTCTCCCATCTTTTTGTTGGGAAGTTTAGTTTGGAGTTGTTTGAATATCATGATGGTGGGTACTTGATGGGCTTTTTTGATTAGAGATGGTCGTAGCATTTTGCCAATATTGTGAAGAATTTTTGCCATGGATGATGAGGGATAATAAGTATCATTTTTTCGTGTTCATTTGTAGCTACTATGTAGTCGGTGTGATTCACGGGACAATCGTAATCGAATAAATAAATTAAATCAGTGTAATTTAAATAAAATATCAAAAAATAGTTTTACTGTTAATTTTTTACTTTTGTTTTCATGATAATAATAGTTTAACTCTAATTTAGGCGAAATATTATCTTTACCAATTGCATACCTACCAACTGCATGGTATTTAATTGTAAAGATGCAAAATATCAGTTACCAAAAATCAAATGTCACACCCCTTAAATTGTAGTTATGAATTTCAGATTTACATTATATATATAAAAAAAAAAATTATATGGTAAGTTTATTTATCCTTCAAATTAGGAAGTTATTCAATTCAAATGGAAAATTAAATTTCAAACAAAATCATTTTCCAACCACATACAAAATACACGATCAGGAATATCAGGTCATGCATTATATTTGGTCCGAATTTTTCCTTTTTTTTTTTCTTTTCTTTTATTTTATTTTTTACTTCTACGATCTACAACACAGCCATATACTTGTGCTCACATTTCCAGAATTACTTCGAACTTATGAAAATCCCTTTCACTGCGCAGAGTTTTGTGAAATTCAAAACTATGCATGCATAAACCACAACATATACACATACATACACACTTTATTACGAGTTTCGTGAACTTCATACATTAGCGTAAAATCTTAATGTTCGCGTAACATATTAGAACCATACAGTAGCAACTCGTGCTTTTATTTTTTTCCCTCTATAATCAGTTTTTTTGAAAGAACCTTGGAAATAGCTGCAATGGTGTTTGGTGTGGTCCTGCAGCAACCCCCGATCAGAGAAGCCCCTGCTTCCCTCCATTTCCCCACGTACGAAACAAAATCAACATCCGAGGCACTCATTGACGGCTTCAAAATTATAGAGAATATTAAGTTATTATGGGTCGAACATATTGTTCTTAGTCTTCAGGAAAGCAATCTATACTAGTTGAGGATCAATGGAGAAGATCCTAATTGCATAGTGATAACATTAACAATATCTTCAATTACTAAAGAAAGTCTTAGATTCATCAGGAACTGAAATATGTTATGCAAAAGTGTGTAAATCACCTGATTAACAAGCATATAATTAGTTCATTTGTTGTACTAATATAAGAATTAGTAAACTCACCATCCATTCCTTTGTGTTCCCATCATAAGTCTCGCCACTGTTCGGATATATGAGAATCGGTTTTGTAGTCACCTGATGATCAATTTATCAAGCATTAAAAGAAAAACACTATATATTTTACAGGCAATCAGTTTCTGAATAGTGAACTCGACAAAACAATGCGTAGCGTGTTATTTTAGCTGTTGAATTGAATAAATTTTTGTATTTATGTTCTTTTTCTCGTTTGCATCAAAGTCTTATAGCAATGTACGTGAAATCCATACCGATTTTATTGATTGGATCAAACCAAGAATGTGCCTTGGTGGGGTGCAGTTTATTCCAACTCCAATCACTCGTGCGCTATTCTCAGCAACTAAGGCACATTCTTCAATTGGGTCGCCACTGGCTGCATGGTTCCCGTCATTGGAAGTGAAGGAAAACCAGGCAGGTATGTTAATTCCCTCTTCTTCCAGAAGCTCTGCATATGCCTATCCCAATAGGACAATGAAAAAACTTGAAAAATTGATTTTTTTTTTTTTTTTCAAACCAAGCAAGTAAAATATTAGTGCAACAAGACATAATAGTAGTAGTAGCAGCAATGTCAATAATGATATTGCCATACGAAGTGAGTAAATAAAGCTACTAAGTTAGACTAATCTACGTATCAATAGCCCATCATGCAAATAACTAATGTACGAAAAATCGGTAACCACACAATGACAGAGAAAATAAATAGTGAAAGATAAGTATAATCATATTCTTGTCCATGGTAACCATAAAAAGAATTACCTTAGCTTCCAGCTTATTTGGGATGGTCTCAAATGCAATCAAATCGGCTCCCGACCCAGCCAAAACCTGAACCCTTCTACGGTGAAAATCTTTGAGAGCTTCCAAGCCCATGTTATCCCCATAAATCCCTCTGCATAATTAAAAAATGACAGTATAGCCAGATGGGATTTGTTAACAACACAAACCTCAGGGGTAGTTTTGTTATCAATGTATAACGTGAAAGGATAATCGTTCAAGATTAAAGTTTAAACCGACCTATACTCTGAACCATCCGCGAGATAAGCGCCATAGCTCCCAACAGATGCAGCAACCAAGATTGGACGTTGTTGTTTTGGAGATATTCCGTCGTTTAAAATATCCCACGAGCCTTTAGTGGCCCTCTCGTAGTATATATCACGAGCCTCGCAAGCTATCTTTACGCTTTTTTCCAGTAAGGCTTCAGCTTCTTTCCCTGAAAGCCCCTTAGCTGCAAATCCATGAAGAGTAGCCTAAAGAGCAAACACAATATTAACATTCATTATTACCAGAGAGCTCAATTATTCTTCAAAATTAAAAATAGCCCCTCAGATTTCTTTAGGATTTCATTTCTTTAGTAACTATCAATGATTTAAATAATGGATTGGATGTATATACTTCCAATTTTTGAATTTTTGTACTTCTGAACAAAAATTTGGAAGAATGATAAGTTTTACCGAATTTTGAACAACTGTAACATAAAATCTAAAGAACAATGTTGTTACGACTTCAAAATAGTGAAACAGTTATCATAACTACGTACAACAACGTAAGTGGATCAACATAAATTTCGTATAATAGAGAAATATATAGTTATGATTTTTTTCTTCATTATGTGAAACAATGAGAGGGAAAACTCTATAATTTTGCAAAATATTGTTCAATCATAAATTTGGATAAAAATTTTCATTGGTCGAATGAAATGATTTTTTTTTTTTCTTTTTCACATATCCAATGGCGCCAGACTTCACTACACCAAGAAAAAGGCATAATTATGTGTGATGAAATGATAATCAGATGAGGTAAGTGAATTTAAGCTCATTGTTTTGTCATTCCATTACCCACTCATTTTTTGGAATTTTAGTTAAACTGTAATTAACAATGTTATTTTTGTTAGTATTTTTCTTATTACAAGTGCATTCAATTATTTGAAGAGCAAGTAAAATGAAGTTCGGGAAGAATTGGCACAATAAGTTATTCAGAGTTGTGTAAGATAAGAAGGCTACTAGCGTCCGTTTGTTGTTATGGTTGTGTTAAACTTCAAATCTCTTACGAAATAGAATTAATGAATAATGATTTAGATGTTTCCTTTCAATTTGTAATTCTGGATGATACGTGTGCATTATTTTCGTACTTAACATGTATGTATTATGTTATACTAATATTACATTTCTTTTAATATCTTGTTTATAAGTTGTGATGAAATGACTTAAGTTGATATCAATATATGCATAACTTTCGCGATGCGAGGATGCCATCAAAACTTGTTTGGTGGTGGCGAATTTTTTTACTAAGAATATTAGTGTTTTTTTCTTGATTTATTGAAATTAGATATATGATTCTTTCATGATTTTGTGCTACATCATTCTCTTGTACGTACACGAGTAAATGTCAAAATTGGTGGATTGTGTCAGTATGTTTTGTAATATTCATGTTTTTGTTGTTTTTTCTTATTGGTTCTTGCTTCTTGGTACATGGGTTTATGATTTTAGTCACTTGGTTCTTGTTTACTTTATTGCTACAGGGGGTTAATAGATAAAAGCACATACATAAGAAAAAAAATAACACATGGATAACGCTTGTTTAGAAAAGTGTTATACATTATTATCATCTAAAAAAATTTTATTTGATTAATATTATAGATAACGATTAACAATAAAAATTGTTATATGAATATATGAAAGATTATTCACACAAAACTTAATATAAGAAAGTGTTATGTGAACGGTTTCACATGACGCTTAGTATACAAAATTAGGTGAAAGGTTCCTCAAATAACGATTATAAAAATTGTTATGAAATATTCTTCATATAACGCTTTTTAGGCGTCAGGCTTCAGATAACACTGATTTGATTCTGAGAACGCTTAAAATTAGCGTTATTTGTAGCGAAGTTTACTTTGGCTTAGTGTTGCATTTTTTTTCCTTTTTATTATCCGCAAGTGGAAGTTTTGGGTTATTTTTTTTATGAATTAACCCCAACACACCTGATAAGATACACCAAAGTCAAAAAAAAAGAAAAAAAAAAAAGAAAGCTTCACCATTGGATGTCCTCTCTCCAAGAGGGTTCAGAAGTTCCAAAGTTCGTAATTTTCTATTATGGTTTGTGTCTAGGGTTTCTAATTTTCTTTTTACGTCCTTGTGTTTTTAACATCTGTTGGTGCTTTATATATATGTACAAACCTCTCTTCGCTAGGTTGTACTCTTTTCCTGTGGTCGTCGGTTCTTTTTAGGGGGTGTATTCGATTAAGACTCTTTAAGGCTTTTTAAATTGAGTGACTTCAATGGACTTTGTAAAATGTTCATGACTTTTTGGCAGATATTTTGAGTCTTTCAGAGAATTCTTATTTGAAACTTTTAATTAGGACTTTCATCATAGACTTCTTGAAGCTTATATAGACTTTATACGTGTAGTTATATCTATTTTGTTTGCATGAAATGTTGATAGATGTTGCCTAACAACTAATATCAACAAGGTCAAGCTAGTTTTTTCTTAAAAGGAAAATATTAAACCGAAATGGTTATGATAGTAAACATTAATTATCCAACTAAAATAAACAAAAAGTGATTTTGTAGAATAATCATCAAAAATTATGAATCAACCCTGGAATTGTTATTCAAACCGAGTTATTCACAAATAACTTGTTTAGGGTCCTAGATTTTATCAAACGAGCAAGCTGATCCGAGCTTTCACAAACTTCAGCGAGTCGGACTCGAACAAGACCTTATATTCGTTTGTTAAACACGAATAACAAGATTGTGTTACCCAACTCTGCTACAATGACACTTATAATTAACTTAATCAAGGTATGTTTATCTAACTATTTATTAATTTTATTTTTGTTTTTTGCATCATGTTACAATATTAAAAAAAAATAATATTTGGATAAATTTTTTTACAAGACAAACATTATCAAAGGACAATAAAGAAATCGATGCCTGTTGAGTTGTAGAGTTAGGAATGTTAGGTCGACACTGTTGAGTTGGAAATCAATGCAACTCTCTAGCTTTGCCTCTGCTATCAAAATTTGCAATGCCAAGTTGAATTTCTTACAGAGAGAAGGAATTTGAAATTTACTAGAAACAAAAGTGTAGAGTCCTTTGGTTGAAAGAAGAAAACACCAACTATTTTCAAGCTAGCAGAGAAGACACTTGAATTGAATTGAAATCATATTAGAGATGGATGGTGCAACTTTTGAATAGTTGGAATTTGAAGCTATTAGTGGAATAAGGAAAATCCAGGAGGAATCAACCAAACCAACTCAGATGAAGACCCGAGTGAGAAAGTAGGCCAACAGAGGTAATTACTGTCAACGCTTTGGAGGCATTGTTGTTCAAGAGAAATCTGATAGAGAAGTGGAGTGTTTGGAAGAGGTCACTTGGGAAATCTGATAGAGAAGAGGAGTGTTTCTAGGGAGAAGGTTACTTTAGATGAAGCTCAATTTCTACCTGTTTCATTATGTAAGAATCGGGGGAAGAACAGATGTGGTGCCATGCAGATGAAGCGCACCATAACAGAGTAAGCCTAGATGAAGCCCAAGTGAAGTTATTAGTGAAAGGAAGAGTAACACACTAGGCTTATAAGTTAGGTCTATTTTTCCTCTATAATAGATGTGGGACAACTCACAAGTGCTATTAAATAATACGCCCCCACTCGTGAGTCCTTCATTCGAAGCCAAGCCGATTGGACTGGGACAACTCACAAATGGTACTAATACATTGTAAGATAAATGACAAGGTTATACAACAGAAGATGAACTAGAAATCACTTTGTTTCGACGGTGAGTGTGATTTTTTAATAGAGAAGTTTGTGACAGCCCAAGTCATTACTTCGAAGACATCTATTTTCCAATAGAGAAGTTTGTGAGCCAAAGTCATTACCCTTGTTTCAAGTTTCAGTAACATATTTGTCGTTTTGAAAAGAAAAAAAGAAAAAAAAAAAGTTACCTGATAAGATGCGGATATAATGATATTTGCACCAGCTTCAAGGTAGTCCAAGTGAACCTGTTGATATATAGGCACCCACCATTTACGTTAAATTCATAATTTTATCTTTAAGCTTAAACTAAACAAAACTCAACTTGACATTAATTAAACTATATATTAAAGAGGCTTAATCTTCTGGCCTCTACCTCTTGCCTTTTTGCTGAGATCACAGGAAGATTAGCACCTAATCTTAATACTCTAAGTTTGTCTTAAAATTACGGCCAAGTCTCGCTGACATGTCCGATCGAATTTTGACGTGGCACTGATTAAGCTTGCGTGGCACTCGACATTTTAAAGTCGATGTCACGTCATGTTACACGTAAGAATCCACGTCACATCTCAACACCCAACCCTTTAGGCTCATTTTTTTTCCCCATTTTTGCAGCCAGTATCTGAAAATATTCAGCGACAGGCGGTGATTTCTTCTCGATTTTTTTTCCTAGTGATTTACCTCCAAAAATTGAAGCGAATTCATGTCTTTACCCCAAAAATAAAGAAGAAATCGACGGCCATCGCTATTTTTTTTTTTTTTTTCTGATAATTC